GACAAGTGACAGCTCACGATCCTCCCCAAGGGCCTACTCAACATGTTCAACTCACCCTGAGCCTCATTCCAACTTATAAGACGGTACATCATGGGGTTAACAAACATTGAGAAGGCGAAGGATTAATTGACATAACGATTCCTGAAAACAAAGCAAATTTGTCAAATGAAGGCTGTCATTACGTGCCAAGAAATAACGACCATCGCGGGCTTCAAACCAAATTGAAACAAATTGCCAAGTAATGTTTACTCTTCTGCATGTGATAACAATAATCGGTCTCATTACATTACGGGCGTATTCGTCAAATTGGCTCACAAGTTAAAGAAAATTTACGCGAAGACACTTTATTAATTGACTTTTTAAAAATACGATTAGAAGGCTGGCTGTAAATAATAAACAGTTACCGAAACTGTCCATGCACTGGTGAAACAATCTGAGGGTGAAAGGAGGTTGAGACAGGATGATCCATCTACCACATTGCGTGGACTACTCGATTGGGAGTAACTGTGAACACTTAATCATAGCGGGGTTACCCTTCATGACAACCACTGCTTTTACAGGAGAAAATCTCGTTTACTGCGTAGATCAGTCCATCGCGAAAGCACGCCAAGGTGGAAGCTGAAAAAATCCTTTTCACGCCAGAAGGACTGATACAAAAACTCGCGAATCCCAGGCCCAGTTTTAGAATGGAACCACCTTTCTTACTTCATTTGGGAAGCCACTGCTGTCGACGCTTTTAAATTCGGCTTGCTAATCCTAGATATACCTCTTAAAACGCGCTCGCCCTCTTGACTAAGTTTCCGCTTGCTGCCAACACTACGCCTACACGTTTATAACCCCCCTGGGTTGTTTGCGCAGTAAGAAACAGATGCAGAAGGCCTTTTTTGTCACATGTGTAGACCTATTGAGCGCACCTCAGCTAACCTGTTCGAAAAATCCTGGATCCGCCATTGAACAGTTTATTGCTATCAGTCCATTCGACACCCTTGCGGATCAGCCTTTATATCCCATACTTTCCTTCACCATAAAAAGGCATGCATACATCCCATATGGGCGGAGCAAGGGGTCCGAAAGTCTTTCCCCACTTCGCTAGAGCAGCTGCGCTTCGAAAACGTTTCTGTGCTAATATAGTTGAGCACGTGCTGGTCTCTGTGAGCGTAACACCACCGGGTCATCTGCCGGGGGTATTGCAATGAGATTCTAGTCGATCCTGGTGGTGTTATTCCGTTGAAAGTTCTCGTGGGGGTCTGGGAGTGCCCACATTTTTTTCAGGGGCCACTGAAAGTCAATGAACCAGCAGCTTGTACAGTCATTGCATGTTTTAAGATTTCAGAAGGGGGTACCCGGGGACACATACATCCAGGGGTACGTAAAACGCGCACCCTCCCGCTCCTCCTCCCGGCCCAGGTCGTGGGGCTGGCCTCGTGCTTGCACTAATTTGAAAAGGGGATCGGATATTTACCCCCGAGTAAATTCTGAAAAGGCGATGCAAGTTTATCCGAATACGATTGACGTATACTGTCTGTTAAAAACAAAGTGGCCAACATTTTACACTAGTTGGTTTTACAGTTTGTAAATTCGAGCAATTTTGTACGCTGAAAGGAAACGAGAGAGTCACTCAGAGGTTCACACGTACCTCCTGGTCAAACTAGGTGATAAATTGAGAAGGATTTACTTACATAACAATGTGTTTGCCATGAACACAACAGCGGTCTAGATATCAGAATTATATTTCCCTTTTAAAAGGCTAATAAGCATTTGGTACATCGCCTCCCCTATTGACCAACTCGCGAAATATTTCCTCAAGATTGACCAAGTCACCTGTCTAATGAAGCGGGGGACTACGCAGGAGCTCAATATCCGTCTTGCACTGCAATCATAAAGAACACTCGGCCTAGAAGAACAAATCCGCACGAAAACAAAAATATTGATTTTAGGAGCTAATTTTCAAGTAACAAGTCGAGCAACCTTCCATACAATGAGATGGTCTTTGTTTCACTAAAATAAATGAGGAAATGACGGGACATGTCTCGGCAACAGTAATTAAAAACCGTCAACTTGTTTCTACGTTTCTAGGCCTAATGCTTTATGGCAGAAGTGGTTGAATGGTTTTTGTCTTGTTTCGTAATATTTCTAAGCTAGTATTTGAATCCGTTTTATGAAACTTCGGTTATTACAAATGCCAGCCTATTTCTAAAGAATGGCGTACTTCAGTATCTCGATCTCTCTTTAGTTTCGAATTTGACTGTCAAATTTCTCCGTCAGCCAAATATCAGGCACAGGCATGGAGTCCCTTTTCAAAGCATAAACAGTGAAAACAAAGAACTCACCCGAACAGAACATGAAAATCTCAGCGCGGGCGAGAATATAATATCAAATCAGTGCTCTGAGTATGTAATTGCCGAGCTTTTGGTAACTGAGTACCTTCTTCAGGGCAAGCAGATTCAGTTCTCAGAGTGGAAATAACAGAAGACCTGTAGCTTTCTTCACAATGATATCCAATTCGCAATTTCTTTTATTAGGACCAAAAAATTGTTTCGCAATGAGAAATGTGAATATTGTACATTTAACAATTTTTAGTCGACGTAGCAATCTCTCGTTCCTTAACGGGAAAATCCTTTTCACGGGGAAATAAAAAAAGAATCACTAGTGTTTCCCCAAATTGTTTGGACTAATTCCATTAAACATGACTCAGCTTTACAGAAATTGCAGGAGGAAATTCATCCGTAGTAACCTCTGAAACGCTTAGTTCTCTTCAGAGGACAACCGTACGGTCGCCGTAATATAGTTTTTGTCTCGCTTTGTGACAGACAACTCGATACTCAACAAATCCAACCATATTCGTTCACATCACCAGTGAGGGCACGACCACATGCGCCAATGTGAATACGAATGCCCGCCCGGACAGAAAGCGCTAAATTGGGTGTCGTAAGTTAATTTCCTGCGCGATAAGCGCAGGATTCTGGCTGAGCAAACAGAAAGGTCGAAATGAAAGCCTTCACAACAACCGGCGATAATTACTAATTATTCAGACTGGATGTCTGATACTCTTGATTTCTTGTGGTCATCCTCGACTCCAATGTGCACCCACACCTTGCTCGTGAAGCAAATAACACTTTTTTCTCCCCCTCCTTACACCATTGTTAAGAGGTATTTGGTTTCTATTCACTCAAGATTCTATTTATCAATAAAATTGCATTTAACGTGAGTGATAGTACTATTTGAATTTTCCCCCTTAATTTTAAAACTTACCCCATTTGCTAGTTTATTGGTGACATCAAAACGTCACGGAAAATAGTTGTGACACACACAAGACGGGAAACTACACAATTTAATAACCATCACAACAAAACTGTGCCAGACTTACAATTATTGGTAAAAGTTAAGAAGAAGGTAATTCTATAGGTAACACAGAGTGACATATTGGAGGGGATTTACACAATATCCTACGTTATCATATTTGTAGTTTAATGAGGACCAAAACTCTTTGTTGGAAGTGACCCTCTGTAGAGATGTTGTTTTTTGAAACTTGGATTTTGCAAGGATCAGATAAAGCTGTATTGCCGTGGTAACAGACTGATACCTGTCAACAACCTCTTTTGTTGTATCATGTAGAATAAAAACTTGCTGAAGTTTGGTAAATAAGAAGCAATCATACACGAAATACATTCTAAGCATGGTGCCTTGCTGTAATATGTTCATGTGTTTCGAACGCGCACTGCCTTCACAACAGTGCCCAACATGATCCTTTTCTTTGGAAAAAGACAATTTGAAACCCAGGATTACATTTCAACAGAATTACCAAAGGGTTAACAAAAATCATCTCCTTCGAAATGAAACTACAGTGCATTATATATTTACATAAAAATCGTACTTGGCAGGCAACGAATAGAAGAAAATTGCGAAGACGAAAACTAACAGAAAGTGTGCTGTTCTCCATAACTCATACCAGAAAGGAAAGGACTTCATATATTCTTATTTATTTGTTTAGTATATCTGTTCATCCAACAGCGCATTTAGTGCCAATTACAGGATGATAATGAGTGAAGACGGCAATGAAGAAAACCCCAGATGAATGTTTTGGGGAAAACCCATGGATTCAGGAAGGGACAGGAAACCCAATGCACATGTGGATCAAGCCGGATTCAAACCCAGGCCCCCAGAGAGGTGGAGGGCAAGGAAAGACACACTACGCCAACGTGCTCCAATCAATTTTGTTATCGTCATGATTTCAAACTAAAGCCGATACTTCTCCGTAATTTGGGTTTTCATGAATGCGTGAAGTATAACCTTGATTTCAAGAATAGTAGGTTTAAGGAATCAATATTTTCTTTAATGTACCTCGAGTTAAAAATAAATATCGCCTCAGAAAAGTGCTAATATGAGCGGGTTTTAGTTTTACGATAACCATGTTTAATCTTTCTTCTTTTTTACCCACGCGGGAGCGTTGCATTGTCCTCTGTCTGGAAATGTTTAAAATACGTTGGTGTATGTGAGGAGCTTCCAATAAAATCTACGTCTGATTATTGCGTTGGCATACAGCTGTTCAGACGAAGTTTTCCGGACTTCGTGTACAGTAGATACCGAATGTTTCCACTGCGTTTGGGCTTTCGCTGTTAAAGTTTCAGTGACAATATACTCCAATATTGCTGGATTAAGGGCACGGCAACAGGGGCGTACCCCCCCCCCACGAAAAAGAGAATGACTGTTGAATACAAGTCGCTCGAAAAAGAGCAAGAAGCCCCAAAATTTACCCTTAACCCCCCAAAGCCATAAAGGCTACAGGAAAACTCAACTGCCTCCAAGTTCCCCCCCCCCCAAAAAAAGGTTCTAGATCGAAAGGGTCATTGCTCTAATGCAGTCTATATACGAAAATGGCGATTGACAGAGTTTTCAATGAGGCAATAACCCCGTATCACCATGCCTTGATCATTGATGCCAGTAACACAGACAGAGTGACTTAATGATTGTGTCAAAATATTTAAAAGAAAAAAACCCACCAGCAACAGGCATGTTGCACTTCTCCCAGAGTTTGCGCGTTGTGTCATCTCCTTATGCCCCTGCTGGTGTTTCTGTCAGTAAAAGCAGACTAGACAATCTCGTATCGCCCGTGATCTTAACGTCTTTTCGCTTCTGGAACTCCTTGGATTTTGCTCCACGAACACGGCGACCTTTTGCTCCAAATATGATTGCAGGAATTCTATACCATGTCCGAATCTTTTGTTGCTGGTGGCTACTTTGCACCTCCGATGGTGCTGGATCACAGTCCAAGCCTTGCAAGTTATTTAAACACTAGCAAAATACGGCACACGTTAAATTCCGTTCCTAAATTGCTCTAGCTGGTGTACACAAAAATTTCTCATGGGCGCAGTGCGGTGTTAAAAGCCTCCTGCGGAGATGATCACCCGCATCACTTGTTGAGAGGGAGTATCATAAGGTGGACGATTCCTATTGGTTCAACCTCAATTCACCAAGGTGTAAGTGGGCCAATCAGAAAGAGAGTTGTTAACACGAGTTACGCTGCGTCACGGTGAGTGATTTTCATTACCACGGCAAGCATTTATTACACTGCGTGCATGCCGTTGTAATTACCAGCCATCTTGTCAAGGACCCGACAGAATCATGATTATCTTTCCGTTGAAAAGCCCAATACAATTTATTGGAGTTTCTGTTATTTGGAAAGAAACAGATTTATCAATTTTGGCAGAGAAATGTGAGTGGTATACATTAAAATGCGTTTTCTTTCATCGTCGTTCGTTATTGGCAAGTATCGAAAATGTTTCTTTGTGCAATAAACAGGTATTAAATGTTTTTATAAAAACATAAAAACCTGCTCGTTGATGTAAACAATGGGCGCAAATGCCAGAATCGAGTACATATCCCCCCTCCCACTTTTTTTTCGGGGAGGGGGGGTTGAATTATGCCCCCCACATTTTCGTGACGAGAAAAATGAAAGCAGAATTTGAAGCATTTTTCAAACTTCAAAACAACCGAAATGTATTCAATGTCACTCAAAAAGTGGAAACAGTTAAAAAATAAACCTAAAATGTGCCATTTTGATTTAAGATTCTGCATGAATGTAATAAATATGTCATACTGGTGTATACCGGTATCATGAACATTGCCATTGAGTGTGATATGATGTCACCTCCTCCTCCCCCCCCCGCGCTTTTCATGTTTCCATACCCAGGCAAGTCAGTCCTCCACACGATTCCCCATTCCCATCCCCTTAATTTACGGCACAAATTTATGCCACTGATGTAAACCATTGCAATTAAGTTTACAGGCGATACCCTGTTTACGCGAAACTGTTTACAGCAGGGTGAACTTTGGTTTTTTTAATATCAAGCCGTACTGGCGTTTTATCAGCACACCAACAGTCACACAGACTCTTTGGTGACGGAAAGTCACGGTTTTCGTACATTGCAAATTTCATTTAATCAAGTTTTGCACAGTGCAGTTCCCGTCTTCAACAATTCGTTCCAAAATGAATAAGTAACGTCAAGTAAACCCCTCAGTCTTTATTGGGGTTTTGGTTTTATCGTCTCCCCTGTGCTAGGGAGTTATAAAGCTATAATATAGTACGTGCATTGCTACGAGTTCGGCAGCACTCACCACCCGCGTGCAGAGTAATAACTAGGGCACACTTTTACAGACATAATCAGGCTAAAGTAACATCAATGCCACTTCCAGTTTCAGTGATGATGTTACGATAAATTATTGATGACATTTAACTCTGAAGTATAATGTCTGAGGAGCTGTTGTAAAAGCATTAAGGGCACTTACATTGAACAGAGTTTTATGAGTGCATTGCAGAGGGGGCCGAGACAGACTATGAATAATGAATCCATGACATCCATGCCCACCAGTGATGCTCAGCTTTCGACATATAATTCATTACCCAATACTAAGGGCAGATCCAGAAAACTTTGGGAAAATAATCCGCAGGATTTTAAGGTAATTTTTTCGAGATTTCTGAAATGGGGGAATGGCTTTTTTTGGGGGAGGAAGCTTTGATGATGATAAAATGAGAAGGAATGTAACATTTCAGCATATTTATATTTAAAAGTCATAACAGGCTTAAACCTTCTCTCTTTGGGGACATGGTACCCGGTTCCACCGATGCTTTTAAACTGCGTGTAGTTTGATTGAACCGGGCTGATGCATGCTGAACTATTTAGGCAGGCCTGAATTTCCTGCAATATTCCGTAGGAAACCCAAATCGATTGATAAGGGCCTGGAATCATAATATCTCCGAAAGAAATTTTACGAGGACTATATTTTCATTTTCAGTGTTGCTTCATTAATGTATATTATGCCAGTTAAAGATGCACTGGACAATTCCTTGCTCTGTTGTGAGACTACATGCAGTTGAATTTCCGGATTAAACTTCACGAGAATTCCAAGAAACGGGGGATTTTAACCCCATGGAGACTTGACTATATAAGGTAGTGCAGTTCAGTGCAAAGTAAAGCACAAGCACAACGAGGCCAAACACTATGTTAGAAAGTCCGAAACAGACCCCAGCGGTCCACATTTACCATTTTCATCAAAAGTGGGCCGGTACATAGGGAAGCAGAAGTCGCTTTCAATATACAACCCTGAGGATTCTTACTGTCCTTTTTTGGAGGCAGTTTCATTTTGGATGCTCTGTTGAGCATTCTCCAGCTCAATTATAGGCCTACTGGTTTTGAAACATAAAATGTACATTGCAGAATACATAATTACAGTAGAATACGCTGTTGGTGTTCATATACAGAGAACAAACAGTAGATCAGTACGTCACTTGCAAACTCACACATGCACATCTTTGTAATTGTTAAAAAATGTTTTTATCCAACCCAATTATTAAAAGGGAATGACTTTTAGAAAACGCCGGCCCTTTTTTTTACAGCTCAGTCCCGAATGGGGTCCTGCAGATTTTGGACCAAGAGCAGGGCTGCGTTATATAGAGGCACAGTCGACGTTATGCTGGGTCCTGTGCCAAAAGTTCGGGTCCTATGAAAAATGTATTATTTGTGGTATCACAATATCAACGTCCCCGTGAAATTGCAAGTCCACTCTACATAACGGTTTTCGAGAAGTAGCTTTTTGTCTTGCAAGCAGCAGCAGATATCACTTGGTAGGCCCAAAATAAATATGCCATCATCTGACACTGCAGACGAAGTGGCATGAATAATTTGAAGCAAACTGTTCTATGGTCTGCATGGCTTGCTTACATTACATCGGGTTGATGGGAGCAGGGTTTGCTTAGTGGTTCTTTCCTCGCACTCCACCTCTGCGGTCCGGGTTCGATTCCTGACTCGGTGCATATGTGGATTGGGTTTTCAGTCCCCACCTGATTTCGCTGCTTTTACCCAAAATATGCCTCCGGGGTTTTCTGCTCACCTCTGAAATTTTTACTGCTTCTCATTGTCTCCTCTCTACAGGTTTCTTGCTTGCGAGATACAGTGCATAGGGCGCTTTTGAGGGAATCCTTGGTGTCATTACCAGAAATTACCTTTGAACAAAAACAAACAATAATAACAACAATAGTAATAATAACAATAATTAAAAATTGTACCATCATCAACATAAAGCACGAGGCTTCATCACGGCTTTCCAGCGCCTTTCTGGCGGAGTATGACCAATTATGTCCAAATTAAGGGGTGGGGTATAGCCGTCTCATATTTTAACCTCCAGGTTATCAATTACTGCAAACTGAGCCCAACTTGGACCTCTAGAAAATCCTTGGTAACCAAAGCAGTGATTCAAGTCGGAAGCAGTAATTACTTGCGCGCTCATCAGCAGTGGATCAATGTTTCCCCCAGCTGAAGGTTACTATACTGTACAGGTCTACCACGCATGGCCAGAGGCGATAGTTGGAAGAAATCTTTTCTTTTAACTAGTATCATAGTATTATTTAAGAAGCACTAGTCTTAGGAGATCGTAAATTGTGTTCTTTATTTCCTTTTCACTCGTCGACAATAGGTGAACATCATCGAAAGGTCTTTTTTGGTAGAAAAGTTTAATAAATTTGGCCTGTATTAGCATGTCCGCAAAATTTGTCTCAAAATTATCCATGTTCGCGAGTGTTCAATATTCTCACACACATTATCGTAGAGTGAAAAAAAGAAATACAGGTGTCACTTCCGACTATTTTTTAAACTCTTGATTATACAATTTCCATTTACACCATACGGCAAGAACAAAGTAATTGGTTTTGTCCCTGTAGATATACCACTGTTTTTGTTTGCTTTAGTTTTTTTGCAGTTGATCTTACTTTCGTTAATTTGTTTGGTTATTTGGTCGTCTTTTTTGGGGGTGGATATTAAAAACACCACCATTTTAGAAACGTGATTAAAATTTAAGGGACGAATCGCCGCTGCAGAGATGAATGTGCCTCTCTTGCTTCAATGCATACCTTGGGCTCCATTGCTCTGTCGTTTCCCTGGCAACCAGCAACCTTTATACTCACCGTTTTGGTTCACCTCTTGCTACCAACAGCCAAGGGCGTTGCCGTAGCTACGCGGGAGGAGGTTTTATTTGCATCATATGCACATATACCCCCATCTTTTTGTGCGTGCGTAATCTCCTATTTTATTTTATATACCACTGTCTTGGTTCCGGTTATATTCTATAAAACCCAGCAGCAAAGAACAGGCGTTTGCGTTTAGGCTGGGGAACGGACTCAACTAAACTGGTTATTATCCTAATGACTGTCCTTTCTCTCCACAGTTCTAGAAACGCACTCTCTTTCGAAAAGAATAATCAATAGCTTAATAATAAAAGAGATGAAGTAAATTTTTATGTCAATAACACCAGTTCTAGTTCAAAATTGAGCATGCGTGTCACACGTAATTGAGATAAAATAAATAAATAAATAAAAATTATGCAGGTACAGTTTATTGAAGGATCCCTTCTTAAAAGATGAAGGCAAAGACACCAGGGAGACTACAGTTCCTTGTGTAAATGATATCCTTGAGTGCTGAAGTCAAGTCTTTCACAAGTCCCTGCAAACCCATAACAGATCAACAAGTCATTCAGTCTTAAAGTGCAGATGCAACGAAATTTTCTTAGATACAATTTTCGGTAACTTTACACTCTTCTTCAATTAAGAGGAAAAAGTGACATCCTTATACGGTTAACTTTTTTCACCATTTGAAATTATTCCTATTTTTCTGAACAACTGAGGGCGTTTTGGCTGTGATATCATCCAGTGAAGACATGGTTTAGTCCATAGTTTTGTTTTAATTAAAACCCATGAGTTTTGCTCACTAAACACACTACTGAGAAAGGTTAATATTGCATGTTTTATTGCTTTGTATTTCCACAATGAATCACGAGAGAAGAGAAAACTTAGGCCAGCATAATCTTTAAATATCAGAAGTTTTTGTGCACAAACCGATGTAACATTCAAGT